GTGGTATATCTGTATACCTTATTGGTATATCTGTATAGCTTATTGGTATCAAAATAAGTACAGAAATAGAAGTGGTTCCCCAAATGCAACATCTGTACATACATCATTAACAAAATGGGCACGCTTTGTTGCTCATGTCAGTATTATAGTATAACAAATTGGAAGCCATTTACATGCAGTTACTGCAGGGGAAAAAGGTACTCAAATACAATGTGATACCCAAATGGTATATTTGTATACCTTATTGATATATAGTTGTATTAAACTAAAATATGTGTAGAAATACAAGTGGTGCACCAAAAAAATACAACATCTGTACATACTTCCTTAATAAAATGTACACACTTTGCAACTCATGTGAATATTGAAGTATAACAAAAAGGTACTCAAATACAATGTGATATCCGAATGGTATATTTGTATGCCTTATTGGTATATAATATTACCAAAATATGTGCAGATATACAAGTGGTCCACCAAAAAAATACAACATCTGTACATACTTCCTCAACAAAATGGGCACACTTTTCAACTCATGTCAATATTGAAATATAAAAAAAAGCTACTCAAACACAATGTGATACTCAAATGGTATATTTTTATAACTTATTGGTATATAGTTTGTATTGCACTACTATGGTTATACCAAAATATGTGCGGAAATACAAGTGTTGTACCAAAAAATGCAATATTTGTACATACTTCCTCAATAATATGGGCACACTTTGTAACTCATATCAGTATTAACATCTAGTTGCTGTAGAAAAAAAGGTACTCAAATACAACATGATACCCAAATGGTATATCTGTATAACTGATTGGTATATAGTTCTACTGCACTAAAATACCTGAACCAAAATCTTTGCAGAATACAACTGGTGCAGCAATGCAAAATCTGCATAGAATTTCTTAGATTCAACTACAACTAAAAACTTCTCTCAATACAAATTCAAAACCAATTTGCTTTCTAAAAATATTTTTTCTCATTCAAATCAATGGTCGCCTTGTTCTTCAACCAAATAGCAACATAGTTCCTCTTCTTGGACGTCGTAACTCCCTTAAAAAGACACCTCCAAAAACAAGTTAAACTGTTGTATTATAGCGAACTAACAGTGCTCCTCCTACTATAAATGGCAGTACTAAAGTCAAGATTTCAGTAACAACTCCACAGGTCTCTCCTAAAATGAAATTGCCTAGACAACCAGCTATCAAAAGAGGGAATATTGATCCAAATGGCTTGACTTCAAGTGCCGAGAAAACTTTATCTCTGAAAGGCACTGTTAATAAACCGACAACTTTATTGAAGAAGCCTGAGAAAAGCAGTGGGAGAATAACTTCACCCCCTTATGTGAATAATTCTTTATTGAAATATTCGTCCTCGTTTATAGTCGAGGCTCCAGGAAGCATAGCAGCAGCAAGAAGGGAACAAGTTGTAATCGCGCAAGTTTAAAGAAAAATAAAAATTGCCCATTATGGAAGAACAAAATCTGCCAAATACGAAGGAAAAGTATCTTCTTTTGACTCTTCCTCTCTTTCAGCAGCTAATCCGAATCCTCTAGGGGAAAAAAGATGCAGCTTTATCACGCCTAATTCTAGTAATTAAAACTCCTACAGTTTTCTAAAATAAAACAAACTGAAGATAGATTCCAACATTAAAACGGTAATAGCAACATATTGTACTATTACAATTGTATTCCTAGAACACACTTTTAAAAGCTAGCGTTTTACAATCTAATAATGAAAAATACCATCTTCACCAAAAAATATTAAAATCCTACAAAGTTTTCATACTACGATTAACTAATAGCAAAAAGAGACCTATATTACCTCTTGCGCTTCTTTCCACGATTATTTTTTTTGTTTCTACTGGAGCCTCAAATTCACGTGATTCACCATGCAACTGTTTGTTCCTCCCATAGTGCCACAACTGTATACCAAACCTAGCTCGAAGACCATCCACATTAAAATTGGCAACGGGGATTGGAGGACCTTCAATAATGTCCTCAGCAAAGCATGCAACATATACTCCATAATCTCTGAAATAAAACAAATGAATAGAATATAAAAATCGATTAGTAGTGAAAAATATTAATATGAATAAAGAAAACAAAGTAAAAAAAGTAATTATTCTTATGAATTTTGCTGTGTTGGCAGATTTGTAATCAGTTCAATCTCAAATAGATCAGCCAAGTTCTTTCCCATGTGCAGACCATTTTCTACTACAATGTCACTTCTTTAGTTATAAAATTCAATGCTAACTAGTAACAGGGGGATCAACACAGCATACGCATCTGCCACCTTTTGAATAGCTCTTTTTTTTGTATTTTTGACTACGTAGCGAGTCATATACATAAAAACATCTCTTATGGAATGATACACACCCCAATATCCAATGCCACTTATCTTCCAAATTAATTAGAAAGAGGACATGATCAACCTGGAGCCATAGAGTGTTGTAATGCATCCTAAGTCCTTTCATGTACTCCATGATATCGTCTGATCTATCAATCAAATGATCTTGTTTCTCACCTTTTATAAATTCTGTCTAAACCCTTTGAATGATATTATTTAAAAGAGTGTCTGTAGTTGTTACATTAATTGGCATATTAATTCCATATTTTACCTTCTTCCTAAGATAGTAGAATACAATATTCAAGTGTTGCAAAAAAGAGAGGAAGAAAACATGACTAACACTAACAATACGCATGAACTAATACAAAAAACCAAAATAAAAAGCAGTACACATACCGAACTAGACAACAGCCTGCCAGAATAATTTAATGTGTGGAAAAACGTCTTATCATCAATTTGTTCAACTTCAAAGTCAAAACAAGGGTCCAACTATCAATCACCAGGTAAATACACTTTCTTATTTTGTATAAAAAAAGATATGGATAAAAAATATATCAACAAAAATTAAGGAAACATGAAAACAAAAGTATATGGAAACGAATACGCACTCTCCTAATTGCATGTCTGCTTCAACAAAGTTTGAGAATGTAGTCGTAAGCTTATAATCAACAGCCACTGAAATGTCATTTACAAATGGAAATCTTTCTTTGATAACCTTCGAGGATCCCCCAATTGCACTAACACCAGATTTCCAGTCATTCCTATACGGCGATTGTTTTACAGCTGTAGGGCATCTTCTCCATGTGAAAACTGCAGGAGTTGTTTCAACATCTGTTTGTTTCTGCATAATAGTTCTTGATACCGACTGATCAGATTTAGACTTATTTAAATCTCAAGTTGTCAGTTCATTTCCAGATGGATTTACATTACCTCTCCCTCCTTGTGTAATGGCAGTAATTAGATTAAGTTGAGAATCAGTATATTCAAAATCAGAATCCAAGTCAAGATTACCCTCGTGTCGACAAGGAGCTTAAATTACAAAATGCTAGTGAATCAACAAATATACAAAGTTAAGAAATTTAAATAAAAAAGAATGAAAAGTTATATATAAAAGACATTACCAGAAGGCAAATTCACATTACTGCCACCAACATCCACTTGACCAACACCATCAACCCGAGATGTTGAACACATAAAAGCATTATCAATATCACTATTTAAATTAAAAACTATCAAAAATATCTCTTTTACATACCAACATCAGAATTAGTAACATTAACAATCGTACCCTGTGGAGCAGTATTTTTTAGTAAAGGAGGAGCTTTAGAATCAATAACAACATCTGGTCGTGTTTGTACAGGGATTCCTGATGGCAACGGAGCAGTTCCAGACTTTTTAATATCATGAGATGGCTGCTTATATTTTGCGTGTTGTGTAATGGCGGTGATTTGATCAATTGCAGATGTAAAGAGTTCAAACTTAGAATCTAAGCCAAGATCATGCTCATTTACAAAGGGGACTGAAAAAAGTTTAAAAAAGGTTAGTGAACACACATATACATAAAGTTAAATAAATAAAAGAGAATATAAAATTGCATATAAAATATTTTACCAGAACGTAAATCATCACTAACTACGCCATGCCTTGCTATGACGTTCTTCACATTGACACCACTGACACCATCCTCTCGACCAACCCCACCAAAATCAGACACTAAACATATAAAATTATAATCAAGAGTACTATTTTCAAAAAATAACAGCAAAAAAAAACCAAATCTGTGATTTACATACTAGAAGGCGCTTTGGGCGTGCTATCTCCAATAACTACAAGATCATTCCCAGTATCGCCCCTTTCAAACTGATCGTAATCATTATGCATCTCACCAAAGGATCATTATCCTGTTGCTTATGCTGAAAATAATAAAATAATAATTGTATTATTATGTATATTACAAGAATACTATGTGCACTAATGCCAAAGACACAAAGTATGCATCAAAGTACTGGAGGTGATTCCGAGCCTACCAATGCTGAGGTAATGAAGGAGTTACAAGGTTTAAAGCTTTTTGTAGAGAACACGTTTGAGAAGGTGCTTGCAGCTATTGGTAGGCAGCTAATGAAACCAGAGGGAAATTCAGCGGTATTGATCTCTTATATAATTTGTTATAGTATATTGTTCAAAGATGCAATATATGCTTATACTATTCCATTCTTTACCACCATACCAAATATATGTCTAGTGCAAGACATGCATTTTATTTCTTTTCAATTCAAATGATATGATTCTACAATATATGAGTTCTATAAGATACTGAAGCATTATACCAATCTCTCTTTGGGATATTTCGGCACGTTCTCCGATTGTGTCCTTTTTCACACATAGTGAACATGTAACTGTATTTCCTTCCCAACCTCCTATGGCTCTTCTTTTTAGGTCTTCCTGATTTGATTTTCCTTTTGGTGGTAGTACCACCTGCGAAGAGACATGTTCTGGAATTTGTCACGTTGTTTCATTCGACAAAGGGTTTACTGGTATCTCATATATTTTCAGCAAGTAGTCTATGTTGTAGTAATTCGAGCAATACTTGTATTAATCCATATGAAATTTTTGTATAACTTCCATTGCATGTGGACATGGAATATCGTCTAACTGAAATATTCCACAAGTGCAGTTTTTTCATGTAGGCGCACCACATTTGTTGTTTGGCCATCAATTACTAAATATAAGAATTCAGTTGATGGCAACACCTGATATAGTTTTAATTAAGAAAAGTCATTAGCTGTATGAAGTAATAGTGTTTTTTAATAACAATACAAAGTTGTTTAGTGAAATCTCTAAGGTGCAGAAGTAAAACTATAGTACATGTAGCGTTTTTATGATTCTAAAAATGCATACCGTCATCGTTTGTGATAAGATAGTATTATCTGCCAATATTTTTTTCATACTTTACATCGATCTTCATAAATGATTCCACGACATCCTCCCGTTTAGTGTAATTCCATTTCTGAATCAATGTCGTCATAAAGTCAAGCAAGTTCACAATTGGGAGGTCTCTTGGTATCATGTTTGATGCATTTACTGATTCTACAATATTCGATGTCATGGTCATAGTTCTATTTGCCTTAGAATGTACCCGGGACCCTTTATCATATCCAATATCCATCAGGTATATATTCACTCTGCTATTAATAGCTTCTAACTCTGCCATATGCCTGTTGAATTCTTCAACAGTGTATGCTCTTGCTAACGTAAAGTATACTTCTTTGATTTATTTATGGCTCTTCCCGAAGTTCGTCTTTATGTGTTCCACAAATGCAACATACATGCACAATGAGGGACTTCTGGATAAATAATTGAAGTTGCTCTCCATATACCATCATGTCTGTCTGATACAATGCACATTCCCTCTCTTTGTCCATAGGTTTATCTGAACTGCACGAAGAACCACTCTCACGATGCATCGCTTTCTGAATAAACAATTGCATATGCGAGGGGTAGAATTTGTCCTATAAAACCAAAGGAAAAAATATTAGTTACAACACACAATAGTAATATATCATTTCATATAGTAGTATAGTCACAGGTAGGTGCAGATATGTAGCAAAATAATTATATACTCTGTTGGTATAGTTTTATACCATATTGGTATCATATGATATTTGAAGATCTTTTTTGCTGCTTTAACTGAATGTAATTGGGATTGAATTTTTAAAATAGTAATGTACATCAATTATACAATACCGATTCTAAGACAACTTTTTTCTTACTCTTTGTGTCTTGCGTGGAAGCCGTGAGTATGGTCCCTCTATATGTTGACTTTAGAAACTTCCATCAATTACAACTGTTGGCCTACAATAGATCCAGCCTCTAATCGATGCATATATAACTATGAATGCATACAAGAAGCTCCCATCTACTTCAGTGTGTAATCGTGTCACTGATCCTGGGTTAGTGTACTCTAACATGTAAAGTTATGTTGATATATTCTTGTATGACTCACTCGGTGTTCCTCTCAATAATTGTATTGCTTTTTCTTTTGATCTCCATGCTTGCATGTAGTTTAAGTCCATACCATATGCTTTTTGGATGTCTCTCTGGATATATGTTGGTGTATATATAGTTTTTGGGTCAACAAGTTTATCTTGTACCACAGCTGCAACAAAAGCTGAGACAACTTGCTTTTGTGAACATAATCTCTTATCATTTAAACAACTGTGGACAGAATTGAATCCGTCACTTTAAAAAAAATTAATGCTTGTAGGCTTGATGCTTTTAGGCTCCAAGTGTATCTTCCATCCACGCAATCAAGGGTACACCTGTTTATAATACAAATACAATTATGTATCATATTTTACTGATAAAAATCACATACACAAACGAGTACAATTCTATACTCATATAGCATACTTATATACTATATCAGTATCATATTTTACTGATAAAAAATACTGACAAACAAGTACAATCCTATACTCACATAGTATACTGATATTGATATAATATATAGGTATCACATAGTTTATTACTTGAAAAATGCAGACGAACCTTCTTGGGCATGATTTATTAACCCAATATTGACATTTTTCTCTAACGGCATATTGTTTCATAACGAGAGCCAGTGGGTTTTTGTCTTTGTAAATTTGTGCTTTTTCAACTTTTTGATGAAATTGATCGGTTATGATGTTTGCATCATCAAGTTTTATACCGGTGTCATCTCCTTCTTGCACATAAAAAATACTAATCGTATCACTGCTTTCAAAGTGTGCAATTTCTGATGAAATTGTAGCAACATCGAAACTGGAGGTGCTTGCAACTATAGCATTTTTAGCAAATGACACACATAGTGGGAGTGTTGTCATCCTTGCACTTGATTTTTTCAATTCCATGTAAACACTAACACTCATATTGATACAAATTGTAATTGGTGGATATCCTTGACCAATAGCATTGTCACGACCCGGATTTCCCATCATCGGGATCGTGATGGAGCCTACTCGTGGTAGCTAGGCAAGCCAACTTATTTACCTTTCATTAATAAATAATTCTGTTAACACTCTTTAGAATCTATAAGAAATATGGAATTTAATAATAACAATAGCGGAAGTCTAATTTATAAGTCTGAATCAAAACGCGGAATAGTCAACAATAGTCTCTACCCAAGATTTGGTGTCACATTACTCACGAACCACTAAGAATAAACTAAATACAAAGGTCTGAAAGAAATATAACAGCTGTCTGTCTCGAAAACAATGAGGCAACAGTCAAAAGGAAAACATAAAGAAGAGATACCGGGCCTGCGGACGCCTGCAAGGCTACCTCCGTCTCGTGAATAAGAAAGTCTGCTCCCGAACTACTGCTGCTGCTGCTCCTCAAAACCTGGACCTGTGCAAAAATGCACAGAAGTGTAGCATCAGCACAACCGACCCCATGTGCTGGTAAGTGTCTAGCCTAACCCCGGCGAAGTAGTGACGAGGCTAGACTGGACATTACATAAACCTGTGCAGTTATAAATATACCGCGGAAAACGAATACCAAGTAATTAACAACATGGGAGGGGAGACATGCTAAGGGGAGATACAATATTAACAGCAATCAAGAGTAACAACTAAAACAACTTAGGTTCACAATGAACAAGGAATCAATACTCAAATACAAACACATAGCCTCAATAACTGTTGCGGCGTGCAACCCGCTCCATAATCACTATTGTTGCGGCGTGCAACCCGCTCCACAAATACCACTGTTGCGGCGTGCAACCCGACCCATATCATTTCTCATGTATCATTGTTGCGGCGCGCAACCCGATCCTCACCTTTTACTGTTGCGGCGTGCAACCCGATCCTCAATATCATTGTTGCGGCGCGCAACCCGATCCTCAATATCATTGCTGCGGCGCGCAACCCGATCCTCAATATCATTGTTGCAGCGCGCAACCCGATCCTCAATATCATTGTTGCGGCGCGCAACTCGATCCTCAATATCATTTAACAAGTCCGACTCCCCAAACAACGGTCACAATAAAGGGGCATAAAAATAAGCAAATATTTGACAAACATCCCTGCAAGGGAAAGAATCCAACAAGTTCAACCAATGTCCCGGTAAGGGAATAATCAACGACGCTTTCTCTTTCTTACTTTTCTTATCCCACGATATCACTGGAGCCCAAGCTCCAAGAAATCTCTTACCTCATATTCCGTCACAAACAACAATATAACGACTTCCTAGTAAGGGGACAAAACATCATCTCAAATATTCCGGCAAGGGGATTACTATAACCACATTAGCCCCAACATCTAACCACCACAGCTAAAACCAACCTATTACCACACTTAACCATCTCAGCTATATCTAACCGATTGCCTCACCTAACCACCCTATTGATAGCTAGCCTATTACGTTACTTAACCACCTCAGCTATAACGATAGTCATCCCACGACACAAGGAAACATTAACCTAAGCGACCCTAGTATCCGTCAAGAACACAATGCAGAGGAATCACAACCCAACAATAGCCTGTCAAGAGGGCAACATAATGATCTCTTCTCTTTCTCACTTTTACTTTCACAATTCGTTCTACCACTGGAGCCGACGCTCTTCAGTGAAACAAGTCATTTCATATACTTTCAATATTCGTATCACAATTCGAGCCAATGCTCCTAGGAATCAAATTATCATATCATTATTCACATGTAGTTCACAACATATAGAAATACTTCAATAAACATGGAATTCACAATCAGTTCATGATAATTGCATTTTAAGGACTCACGGTCATGCTAGACACCAATGTATAGATACTCGTCACCATGCCTATACATCGTACTCGATCACATAGCAATTAGCAACAAGACTCAACTCCTATTCCCTCAAGCTAGGGTTAAACCAAACACTTACCTCAAAGCCTTGAATAGCAATCAACCTTCAAAGACCGCCTTTCCTCTACAATCCGACTCCGAAACAGTGATATCTAGGCATGATTAATTCAATAATATCAATAAAGACTCAAGGGCAACATCCCATAGCCTAGATATGAATTTTCTAGCATTCTTCCAAAAATACCAAAATTAGACATCGGGCCCACATGGTCCAAACTCGAGGCTCGGACCAAAACCCGATCACCCATAACCCCACGAGTCCACATACATAATTTGTTTTAAGATTCGACCCCAAATTGAGGTTGAATCACCCAAAATTCTCAAAACCCTAACTCTACCCAAAACCCATAATTTCTACTTTGATTTCATGATTTNACTTACCTCAAAGCCTTGAAATCCACTTAATCCTCAATTATTGCTTTACCTCGCGGTTCCACCTCCAATTCGCTCGAATCTAATCACAAATTGCTCAATTACTTTAGCAAACACTATATGGATTAGTTTGAATGCAAACGATTTTCCCAAAGTTTTACTCAAAATTTCCCAAAACGCCCCCGGGCCCACGTGGTCAAAACTCGAGGTTCGAACCAAAATCTGGTTACCCGTTCCCCCACGAGTTTAAATATATAAATTGTTTTGAAATCGGACCTCAATTCGAGGTCCAACTTCCCAATTTATAGAAAACCTAGGTTCTACCCAAAAAACCCCAATTTCACCCATGAAAATCCTTGATTTCAAGTGAAAACATGTTTAATGATGTTAAAAGTTGAAAGAATTGAGTAAAAATCAACTTACAAATGATTTGGGATGAAGTTTGCTCTTGAAAAATCGCCTATGGTGTTTGAGTTTTGAAAGAATGGTGAAATGTGGTGAAAATTCGACTAAGTATAAAATTTGCTGGGCCTCGGATGTGGGAATTGCGAACTAGGGTTCGCAATTGCGAACCCAGGTCTGCTACTTTGGGAAATGCGAAGCTGAGGATCGCATTTGCGAAACTTTACCAAATGGCCAGTCTTCGCATTTGCGAGAAAATGATCGCATTTGCGATTGGCCACCCCTCGCATTTGCGAGCCAAGCCATCGCATTCGACAGTGCCCGGAAATCCCCTGGTTCGCATTTGCGAACAATGGATCGCATTTGCGATCCCATGCAAAATTCCCCAGCTTCGCAATTGCGATTCAGTGTTCGCAATTGCGAGTCCCATCTTCGCATTTGCGAAAATCACATAAACCAGCATACCAGATTTTTCAAAACATGAGAAATGCAATCCGACGCCTATTCAAAACTCACCCGAGCCCTCGGGGCTCCAAACCAAACATGTACACAACCTCA